CCACTCATGGTGCCCCGTGTGTGTCAGAGTAGAACTGTGCTCACAGGGTTCTCAGTGACTAAGTTTTCATAAGTTGATTCCACTCATGGTGCCCCATGTGTGTCAGAGCAGAACTGTGCCCCACAGGGTTCTCAGTGGATGATTTTTCATAGGTAGATCCCACTCATGGTGCCCCGTGTGTGTGTCAGAGTAGAACTGTGCTCACAGGGTTCTCAGTGGATGATTTTTCATAAGGAGATCCCACTCATGGTGCCCCGTGTGTGTCAGACTAGAACTGTGCTCACAGGGTTCTCAGTGGATGATTTTTCATAAGTAGATTCCACTCATGGTGCCCCGTGTGTGTGTCAGAGGAGAACTGTGCCCACAGGGTTCTCAGTGGATGGTTTTCTGAGTAGTTCACCAGGTCTTTCTTCCTAGATGACTTTGGGGAGACTCAGTCCCCAACCTTTCGTTAGCATTTCAGTGCTTAACTGTCTACGTCATTGGGACCTCTACTGGTTGTGTAATTGTGAACTATAAACAATCTTGGATGAAATTCACAGCTTATCCAATGTGACCGGGTCTGGGTCCTGCTTCTGTTCCCCAGGCCTCTGCCTCTTCATTAATGGAACCGCAGTGCCTGTTCTGAGGGGTAGTCCAGGGATCCTCCAGGGGTCACAGGGTGCCCAGTGGGAACAGCACGTGGTTGCTGGCAGCTCTCACCAGGCTCTGTGCAGCTGCTTACCCTTCTGTGAACCCAGGATAGCTCATTGATGAATGCCTCCCAGCCCCGTATCGGAGCTGTGAGAACATGGTGCCGTCTCCCAGGCGAGGTGTGCTCCACAGCGACACCTGTGCCCCCCCGGGGAAGGGTAGACACCTGGGGAAATGGCACGTGGTGTGCAGACCAGTGAAGTTCTCTTTTTAAAGCGCGTCTTTTCCCCAGGAGCGAGAGCGGAGGTCGCCAGCCTTTAACCTCCAAATCGCCACCTTCCCAGAGAGCAGCGGCAGTGTCCTCGAGCTGTTCTGTCACCAGGAAGGAGTGAAGGTAGTGTGCGGCGGTGGCTCCCAGGCAGGCCCAGGCTGGGTGTGAGGGGTGTGGCCCCGTGCCAGGGACAGAGCTAGTTTGAGTGGAGTACCCACCCTGCCCCGTTGTCTGATTTTGAGTCTGAGCTCGTTCATTTGTACAGGGGCCCCCAAATTAAGTTATAAAACAGCCTTGAGTGCAAACTCCAGCCTGACTCCTAGCTCTGACCCTTAACCTTTCTGAGCGTCAGTCTTTCCATCTATGAAATCTGAAGGGTGGCATCACCCACAACATGAAGTGGCCCAGAGTCCCCCTGGGCCTGGGGACACAGAGATGGACCTCTCCACAATGCCACAGACATTTCTAGAAGAGTGTTTGTACTGACACAGAACTTAGCAGGTGGCTGCAGAGGGGCCCCGTTCAACTGTCCAGCATCATGGCCTTTGCTGCCGTCCTCCCTGATGAGGGCCCAGTTGACCCTGGGGTGGGAGGTGGCTGTGGTTCTGGCCAGCTCAGGCAGTGAAGCCAGGCCTCTCTTCCAGGACGTGAATGTGTCTGAACTTGTGAAGAAGTTAGATATCCTTGGTGACCATGGGGTAACTACTTGCGCTCCTGTCCAGCTTCATGTCCTTGGGGTTTGCTGTGCTCCGTGCACTTAACCTGGCCTTCCTTCTCCCTGGGTAGACCTCCATGTGCTGCTTTGGTATGGCCCTGACCCGGCGGGTGGGGGTCTGCACTCCTCGGAAGGGGGCTTAAAAGGGGGGAAGCAACAGGTGAAGACCCTACCAGAAGAGGGGGCACCAAGAGGCCCGTTTCTAACTGGTAAAGGCCAAGGGATGGGCTGAGCTACAACACCTACCCCTGGCCCTGACCCCACACTGAGCAGAGGCCATGCACAACCATCTGTATGTGGCCTGGAGTCCTGCCTAAAACACCTGTTTTTGTTGTAGAATCTGAGGAATGATGAGCAGGTGGCCGTCATCCAGGCTGGGACTGTGCTGGCCCTGTGTGAGCAGGTAGAGCCCAGCGTCTGTCTGTGCCTAAGTCCTTCTGTCTGTCCCCACACCCGGGTCCACACAGAGACCACAGGGGAATTCAGTGTCTGTCTGTGCTCACCTGTTCCCACGCCCAGCTCCTTACAGAGACCACAGGAAGGGTCAGCGTCTGTCTGTGCCTGAGTCATTCGGTCTGTCCCCACGCCCAGTTCCATACAGAGACCACAGGGGGAGTCAGGGTCTGTCTGTGCTTACCTGTCCCCACTCCCAGCCTCCACACAAAGACCATGGGGAGGGGGGTCAGTGTCTGTCTGTGCTCACCTGTTCCCACACCTAGCTCCATACAGAGACCACAGGAGGAGTCAGGGTCTGTCTGTGCTCACCTGTCCGCACGCCCAGCTCCACATAGACTGTGTGGGTCTCTCAGTGTTTGGCGCCCGTGTCCTGGCTGGCTTTGCGGTTTCTTGTGCATGCACTTGGCCATCTTGTGTTCTGACTGAGAGCAACACATGACACTGTAGACACCACACCTTGAGATTATTTTTTCTGCTTCATTTTCTGATCCCTTCCTGCTGTTTCCTCCATACATGATTTTTTTTTTTT